AATCAAGGAGTCTGGTGGCATCTTTTCCATCAGATGCATAAAAACTTATGCCTTTTTAAATAAAATTATTTAGTCAGAAAAGATGCTACCAGACCCCTCCTGATTTTTTCCCACCGTAGACTAACATGACTCTTTTCTATAATCAGTATTTGACAGTGGCTCAACAGTTGTATATTAGTTCTTGCACAGAATCCTTTCAAGAACTGTCTGTTTCTTTCTTCAGGGCCGTTAGCAAATCAGATGTGATGAATAGTGTGGTAGCTTGAATATCCATGATAGATTAGAGTAAGCCCTTCCTTTCATGAACTAATAAGGGGAAGAGATGTTTGTTAGATCCCAGAGAATAATAATAACAACAGCAATAACGTCTGCCTGTCCCAGGTCCTTGGAAAGGACTTGACAGGGGATAAAAATGCCAAATCCAGTTTAAATATCTGGCTGACTATGCGACCACCACCACCACCACCAAGAATAATAATTTTTTAAACTTGTATGCTTCCTGGCTCCCAATCACTATGGGCAGCTCACAACAATCAAAGAAATTACAATAAAATCAGTAAAAGATAAAAGATGGCAGGTGAGATGAAGTGAGGGTCTCACTCTCCGTCACCAAAGGCCTGGGTGAAAATTCTTCTTGTTCCTTTCAGCTCCACAGTTCTGTGATTCTAGATAGTAATGTCTTATTTATCTGAAAGGAAGATGACTCTGAATTGAAATTTCCTCCACTTTCCACCTCAGAAAAGGAAAATTAGATGATGATGATGATGATGATGATGATTTATTTGATTTGTATAGCCACCCATCTCATCTAAGTGACTCTGGGTGGCTCACAACAGGTAAAAAACAATGGAAACTGAGGGTGTTTTTTTAAGTACTTTATTTAGATTGCAGCTAAGCAACCAAACATTACAATGGCAAGGCTTAAGGTCCAAAATAAAATTAATAAATGGGTGTCCCAGATACATGTTTAGGAAAGAACATAAATCATTGTCCCTGATCAGCAAATATACCTAATTCAGTTAAGTCAATGGAGATGATAAGTCAGAAGGCTTTCATTTGGTCTCTGTGCCTACTTTGGAAGTAGTCCTTCAAGGTCATAGAGGGACACCTTTTGTATAGGTCAGCTTAGAATGTAGTTAGTTTCAAGGTACGAAAGGAGAAAGGTTGCTATTTAAGACCTGGAACAAAAAATCTGTTGTTTACTAAACCAGAGAGTATAAGCTGCTTTATTTTCATGTTCTGGTCACAGTATCCAAGCATTTCATGCTTGGGAGGCATGCTGGGTTTTTAAAAAATGTAACTGGATCTTTTATGTAATCTTTTTTAAAAAAAAAATAGTGCCTCCTTTTAAATTAAACGTTCCAGTCCTATTATCTCTGGGCCTTTTCATTCTGCTGCTTCTAGAATGCCTGGTATAGTTGACAATCCAGAACTTAATGGAACTATGAAGTATAAGATCAGGCTAGAAGAGTGTGAAATTTGACTAGCTGACTGATTTTATTTTTTTATTTCAGTGTCATGGCTGGTGTTAAGTGAAATATTTCCTGGAGGGATCAGAGGAAGAGCAATTGCTTTCACATCAAGCATGAACTGGGGGGTTAATCTCCTAATCTCATCAACGTTTTTGACTATAACAAGTAAGACTGCTGTGACTGTGGAATGAGCATAATCAGCCTTTTTGTCAGCTCAGTATAATCCTTTGAAAAGGCAGAAATATGATAAATGGTTGCAAATTTGAGCAGAATTTCATGAATCTGAGAAGGTCCTAGAATTGTGGGTACTTCATCGCTGGAGGATTTCTGTCCTGGGCAGGGAGTTGGACTAGAGGGTTTTTGTAGGCACAATGATATTTTCAGTACTGTCTGACAAAACCACCCTTAGAATGAAAGTAAAAAAGGGAAAATAGTTTTTAGGATGGAAAATCCTTACAATTTCTTATGCCCAGGATAACTTTCAGCATTATTGGCAATGTGTTTTCAAAGCAAAAAGAATGGGCTTTCACCGAACCTTAATCATTGGGATATTGTATAGATAGCCCAGTGCTGTTTTGCACACAGCTGTATGCAAGGATGGCAGTTGTTGATGGGTGACTTAGGGCTTGTCTACCAACTGGGAAGCTTCCATCACCTTAACAGAGTGGCTCAGCATTTTGGCAATGTGTCCTAGACTCTTTTTACAATCAGAGTACCCAGTAAATGTTGTTTGTGATCACTAGACGCACAACCAGGGTTCAGAAAAGCCATCAACACCTGGCTTTTTCAGCAGGCCTTGGAGGTGGGAGTGTTGTGAGCTGTTCCCTCCTGTAATCTGGAGATTAATGAATGTAGAGCTTTATGTATCTTTGTTTTGTATGATACTGTTATTTGTATATTTTTAGACTTGTTTTTGTAAATAAGGTATGTAAGTTATTCAGAGTTGTTTTTGACTGGAGTGACATATAAGCCCTGTGAATCAGCTGATCAATGAATCAAAAAGGTGTTTTGGCAAAATTATCAAAACAGCCTTTTCAGCGCAGTAGGGCCAGTTCTTCACATTATATTACATTTCTAGCACAAAAGTGTAAAAGACTTGGAGTTCATCTGCTCAAACAGCAGCCATGCCATATATACAAGGTCACAAAAAATAGAGTACAGGTAGATCTCGCTTACCAACTGCCTCATGAAGCGACCGAAGTTACAACGGTGCTAAAAAAATAATTTTGCAACCAAGGCCCACATTTATGATCTCCGTGGCATCTCCCTCTCAGTCATGCGTTTGCTATTAGAGTCAGTCAGTATGCATTGTCCTGTGCCTGACCCATTTTTTTTCTTTTTCCTCCCCTGGCAGAGCAGAGAGGTTGCTTAAACAGGCAATTTCTTCCTGAGCTGCTTTTCTCTGATCTCTTCCTGAGCTGCTTTTGTGGCAGCACAGTGCTTCCCCAAAAGGTGCTGAGGGCAAGTTAACAGGCTCAGCTCTGTTACCTTAATTAGGGGGCTGTAGCTGCTACCTGTAACTCACAAGACCCTAATCAGTTTCACACTAAAGGGTTAATTTTGCCTCCTAAGTAACTCACAGGTTGCAGCTGCCAGTGTGCTAGACAAACAGTTGGTACCAGCATATTGCTTTCGATGTGTATTCCCCATTGTGTGCCTGCTTCCTCTCTTGTAATCCCTTCCTCTCCAATGAATGTAAATACAAACGTTATTTCCCTTCTTCCTAATTATCCCACTGCCAGGGTGAGCATCCCAAAGGGGAAGGGGGTGGGGAAAAAGATGAAGCAAAATCATAAGCACGGTCACAGTCATGTGATTTCCCACTTAGTGACTGCTTCACTTAATGACAGAGCTGCCGGTCCCAATTGTAGTTGCCAAAGGAGGACTACCTGTACAAAAATGCACAAGATAAACAATAAAATGATGCTTACAAAAGACCATTAATAAATGACTAATAAAACTAAGCAGAACCCAAAGAAGAGAAGGGGAAAAAAAGACCCCCCAATAAATAAATAAATATTTTTTAAGAAAACATAACCCCTATGATGTGGTCTTGTATACTATCAGTATCCTTTTGGAATGGCATTTCAATATAGATAAGTAGATCTATGGGGAAATCCCTAATATTAAAGATGTTAGCATGATGTTGAATTATATCTCAAAACTTTGGAGTCTGTCTTTGAGGAATTATGGTTGTACTAGGCATTGTACATTGGTACTTTGCAAAAAGAATTACTCTGAGAAATTGGAAATATGATATTATTCCAGACGTGAAGGATTGGTTTTTGGAAATGTGTTATTTATTTCTTTTGGAAAAGGCTATATTTTCAATCAATCAGAAAATAAAGCAATTATATTCTTCTTTGATATAGATTTCATGATATTTTACAACAATAGAGTAGTATTTTTAAATAATTCATATCCTTTTCTAGTTGATAATATACTGTGATAAAGTTTGTAAACCAGTGATTTCTACATGTTTAAAAATAAAATTTGTTGAATGTTTTTTCAATGTTGAACTGATTTTGTTTTTGGTGTTATTCTGTGTACTAAGAATGTGTATGTTATAGTAGACCTTGGGCAACCTCAGATTATTTGTCTAAGAATTTGTCTGAGTCAAACAAGATTTCTTTATTTTTTAGACCAAATCGGTTTACCGTGGATCTGTTTCATTTATGCACTGATGAGCCTAGCATCATTAGCTTTTGTCATTATCTTTATACCGGAGACAAAAGGATGTTCTTTAGAGCAAATATCCATGGAACTGGCAAAACAGTAAGTACAAATCAATATGTACATACCTTGTGCTTGTTTGTATAATGCCAGTTCATATTACTGTATTTAAAAATGTATTCGATTATGGGAAAAGATCATGACGCATCTCCCTGTGTTTATAACAGTCAAAGTTACAGATGGAGATGGATGTAATCTTGAACGCAGCTGTGCTCAAGCCTACACTGTTGTTTTATGCTTTGATGATTCTCTGAAATGGAGAACATCTGATGTCTAGTGCACAAGTGATGACACATTTTGCAGTAATGGAAAATAATGTCAGACCAAGAATGAATGGAATTGCCAGCTACTCCCACCAGGTTTAAAACTTGTATGCAAGCATGCCATCACAGCCCCAAGTTCCAGACCTGGGAGTTCTCCACTGTGGCCATAGCTTTTCTGTTCACATTTGGGCCTTTAAACCAATTTGAAAGAAGGTGCCATTCACATAGAAGGTGCCCTTTTGAAAACCTTTTTTGAAGCTGGGTAACGTCTTCAAAGCAGCACTGATGCAGAGATATTATTATTATTGTTGTTGTTGTTGTTGCTGCTGCTGGTATTTTGGGTTGTCTTTTAAAAAAGTTTGTTAATGTTTTATATAAATTAGGCTTGTGTGAGACATCCCTAATTTCCTTCAACAGGAGAAGTTAATTGTGGAGGCAGTCATATTTGGCCTCCTGAGATAGTCTGGGCCACTCTGATTGCAAGAAGCCTCTTTCAACACTTTCAGTGCTCACTAGAAGCACAAGAAGTGGCTTCAGTGTTTGCAGAATATGTGCGCAGAAGCCTGGACTGGACATTGGATCAGTATGTCCTAGAACTGGAGAACTGGGGAAATACATTGCTTCATGAAACAGAAGTGGTACAAATACCCCTGCTCTAAGCAAGAAGCCTAAGCATTAAACTTCAAGAATTAGATGCACCTTCACCTGCCTATTGTGCACAGTGTCAGTGTGTCCTTTGCAAAAACTTAAACAAAACCAGATTCTTCAAGAGTTTAAAAGGAGTAGAAAACAGTTTTTTGTTAGTTATGCAGAGCATGAGGCTATCCATACTAGACATTTTCAAATGTATTTACTTGCATAGATAAAAATAAAAATGTTCAGTTCTTCTGCTTAAAACCTTAACCAAAACATCATGAAGTATCCTGTACAAACCTGGTGCTGGCTAGATATCTGGGGAATTGAAGTGCCCAACATCTAGAGTGTACCAGCTTGAGGAAAGCTGTTAAGAAGTATATATCAGTATTCTCTGTACTATTTTGATAACTAATTGCTTGTGATGGTTATCATAACAGAAATATATTCCATTCCATTTAATAACTTGTGAGCTGCTGAAAGGACAAAAAGCAAAGTTAATTCCAGCTGCTTCCCAACCAGATCCCCAACATTTTTGGAACAGTGGGAACTTCTGGAATGTTGAACGCCTATTTGCACTTTTACAAAATGGTTGGTCACACCCATCATGGCCCATACGCCAGAAGTCGAGCAAAACTCTGGGCTGTAGCCACCCATCCTCTTATTTTCTAGGAATCCTTATGGGATGTATGTGAGGTTCAGAAGCATTAATGGAAATAAAAGTATTGCTGGAGACTGATTCCTGATGCTTTGCACCATGCTAGTTCCCATTCACTTTTCTTTTTTTTAATTTAGAAGAGTCTTAAATAAAATCAGGTAGGACAGAGAGCTTGGTACCATGTAAGGGTACATGTTTCCTCGCAACACCAAGTTGGGACTCAGGGTCTCAAGGCAAGGCTTCTCAAACTGTGGGTTTTAAGCGGGGGTGGGTGTCACACTCTCACTCTGGCTGGACCAGGCCATGCATGGGCTCCCAGTGCTGGGCTCTCCTTTGTGCTCATACCAGCAGCTCCTGCAAGACCCCAACCTGCTGTTGAGCACTGCTCAAGGCAACCTGGCACAGTCTTCGTCTCTCTCCAGCGATGGCTTTTCCTGGATTTGATGCTAGATCCTGGCAGTGAGTTTGCACATCCACTCCACGCAATCTGGACATTGCACTTCTTGCAGGAAGATAATCTTGCAATGGGGGCCCAGTGTGACATCCCCCAGGAAGAAGCTGCTTTGGGATAGAGGGAAGATGAGACTGGGAAGAGGTGTTAGGTATTAAGTATTTTTGAGGGTCATAGTACCACAAAGTTTGAGGATCCCTGTCTTCAGGAATAAATGAACTTATATTAAAGATTGCTCTGAAATGTTTCCTCTCTTTCAGAAAACATGCCAGGAATCCTTTATGTTGGATGGGCCAGCGGCAAGACCAACTGATTGGCTCAACTATAGAACTTTCTAATAAAGAAGTCCATGAACAATTCTTCTAGGCAGAGACAGATGCTTGAGTAACTAAGGCCAGAAGAACGAACTCTCCCAATGAACCAGATGGTAGAACTCATAGAAATCCTGCTGCTACATCCATATACTTAGTGTCTTACTCTAAATTAGCTTTCTCTTATTTTATTTTAGAGGACTTTTTGGTCAGTGGATATTATAAAATAATGAATTTGCACATTTTAAGCAGAGAACTGTCTACTGTAATAGTATTTCTATGGAAAAAAATAGTATTTGTATGGAAAAAAATAAAAAACCATAAACATTACATAGTCAATAATACAAACATGAGAAATCTGTGCAAACTTCTCTTTTAGAGAGTGTAAAGTATTTTAGTCATGCTCAGCACACTTGTGCAACTGTACTCAATCAATCATCCTTTTTAGGCCTGTTAGCCAAGCCCTTTAAAGGGAAGAACACTGACTACTGCTTCATGCTAAGTCACAAACACATGAACTGCTATACAGGTAGTCCTTGGGTTACGACCACTCGTTCAGCAACCGTTCAAAGTTATGACAGCACTGAGCAAGAGGTACTTAGAACCAGTCCTCAAAGTTCTGCCATTGCAGTGCCTCCATGATCACATGATTGCCATTTGGGAGCTTGGCAACCAGTTTGCAATTACGTCAGTTGCAGTGTCCTGTGGTCATGTGATCACCATTTGCAATCTTCCCTGCTGGCTTCCCACAAGCAAAGTCAGTGGGGAAGCTGGCAGGGAGGGTCACAAGTTGCTCCCCCTGCCTTTTTCCCTGCCTCCACCAGTTTTGTAGCACCTGACCGCGACAATGCCCACCCTCCAATGCTCCATAGCACCTGCCCACAGCACCCGCCTGCTCATGCTCCATGGCACCTGCCCATGGCACCTGCCCGCCTGCAGCTCTCATGCGCAACTTTCACCTGCCGGCCTTCTTGCCTAGTACTCCCGCCTCTTCCCATGTCACGGTCACATGAGGTCCTTACTTAACAATCTGTGCGGTCCTGGGGTTACAACAGCAACCAGGACTGCTGGGATTGCCATTGCTAAGCAATGTGGTCACATGACTACATTGCTTAGCAATGGAAATTCCAGTCCCAATTGCCTTGTAACCCAAGGACTACCTGTATGGCTTATGGCAACCTATAAGGCCATTAAATCCGGACAAACAGCAAGATTGGATGTAAGAAGCTATGGTTAAATTTGAATCTAGTACTGAATTGTGATTTAGAATTACTTGCACAAACTTGTCTGAAAGCTTCCCTTTCTTCTTGGAGCTGGAAAAATCTGATTTGTGGTTTAAACTAAACATTTTTCTTTATATTTTAAGTGATATTGAACTTAAGTCATATTTTTTGAAGCAAATCCCTATTCAAAAGCAGATGGTTTAGATCAATTGTGTTTTGTTGTGGTTGGTCTAGTAGAACTAGAAAAGGTGTGGCCCAGGGCAACCAAAATGGGAAAGGGTATTGACCAAGTCTCCTTTGAGAAAATGGAAGCTTTTTACTGTATCTTAGAATAAAGGCAAGTAAGGATAAAAATCATAAAGGATGTTGAGAAAATGTTTGCCGTACTGTATTATTTGAATTCAGGGTCATCCAATGGAGCTGAATAGTGGAAAGTTTTGAACTTGTGTGCTATGGGTTGACCTTTCGCAGGCATTTGGTTGGCTATTGTGCAAGAATACTGGCTTGGAGAAGCCATTGATCTGAGTCAACACAGCTCTTCAATGTTCTGACCTAGCAATATGCCGTGGCTAGTTTAACCCAAGAAGTAAGAGCTTCTGGTTTCCTTTTCATTCAGACCACAGGAGAACGAGAACCAGCAGAACAGATATGAATTTGAGGCTTCTCAAGATGTATTCTTGTACTGTTGAACTATGGTTTGCTGTTATGTCTGAAAAGAGTATCTGCTGTAGATTGTACAGATTGTAGAGGTTACATCAGCCTTAAATAATGACCCAAACCTCTCCAGGTATGTTCCCACAATTTTAAGCATATTAGGAAATTCAAGTATACTGTCTTGTTTTAATGGTTGTTTAAATATGGGTTGGGCAGTCTTAGTAGGCTCAAAGCCCAGATGTGACATAAGGCACTGAATTGGAGGCTTTACCCACCGATATGCACCCTCACATATGAAAGAAACAGCATTTTGCCAGCTCCATTACAACCAGTGAGGAGGGAAGTCTGAAAACCTCTCCCACGCCTTGACTTGCCGCCACCGCTTCCTCTTCCTCCAAGGTCCTCTTCCTGAATGGCCCAGTGATTCTCTGTGTGAAAGCATTTCTGGACATGGCAAGTGATAACATGATGGAGGGCAGGGTTGTTCAGCACCTATGGCAGACTACATCAAACTACCTGCAGAGTTGGTGAGTTGCCCACTTTTGTGTTGAATCCATGAAGACTTAATTTTTATGTTTTTTTCCTACTCACTTTTCAGATTAAGAAATGAAATCATTGCTATAGTATTGCTATAGTCTTGAAACATCTGGTTTCTTTTAACTTTGGATGGGAAAAGACAATGAATATTTGAAATGTTTTAATGTTAGCAGGTAGGCATTATGAATCAGCTACTTGTAACCTAAAGCAGCTCGTAGTCCATTACTGCTGCTCATCATCTTTGTTCCCCTACCAAACTGATAATCCATGTAAGCACTAGTAGCATAATGTACCAGCAGGTGAGTATGCATGTATGTGTATGTATCTAGGTACATGTATGTATGTACACACACACACAGTTGAACTTGTCAGTGTGGTGATAAAATATGTGATAACCTGTGCAAAGAAGATCCAAAGGCCTATGGATGCAGTGATGCAGATCACTGGCTGCATTCACATATTGCACTAAAATGATAACATAGTCTATTTTAATTTTGGCTTAGTATATAGTGTGAACTGCACCACTGTGGCCTGCAAACCATGGTTTATGGCTTAGAGTTATATGCAAACCAGGCTACTGTGGTTTCTTGAAAAACAAGGTCTAAAACAAACCATGGCTTAGCACAATGTGTGAGTCCAATCAATGGAAAAATATCCCTGGTCTTCTGTTCTGGTGGGCAAAGAACAGTTCCTACCTCATTTTACAAGTCTACGTTTTCAAACTGCTGACTGCTAAATATCAGCTATATCAATTTGGACTTTATTTTTATGGGAATGTTTTCTGTGCTTTTCTGAGTTTCTTTCCACATAGTTATGATGCCCGCATGCAACAACTTTCCCGTTTAGCAAAATGCATCATTGATATGTTCCCTGATTTTGAACAGCAGAGTCCCACTATTTTACCATTGTATTTAAGTCACTTTTGTGCAAATGAATTCATATGAGAAACAGAACAGTAATCATAATTTCATTTTAAGGAATGTACTACATATATGTTAAACCATGTTTCTTAATTGGAATAAAAACATTAAAAGTAGAGTAAAAAAATTTAGAAAATTACATTTTGAGACAGCCTAGGTGCTGTTGCTAGAAAGATTAATGCAGTATGAAAATACTTGGGTGTACTTCTCTCCATTTTATTCCCGCTTCCTCTAGACCAGTGTTTCTCAACCTTGAAAACTTTAAGATGTGTGGACTTCAACTCTCAGAATACCCAGCCAGTATGCTTCATAACATCTAGCTTATAACTATATCAACAGTTGCTGCTGTTATTTAATGGGGCAGGAAAACCTTAGAAGTGGGTTTTTTTTTTAAAGAAGTAAGTTAATTAGAAGTGAGTTAATTGATAAAGTGCATCAATAGTTTACACTCAATATACAGTAGGACAAAGAAGTATTCAGTCAGCCACCAGTTGTGCAAGTTCTCCCACTTAAAAAGATGAGAGAGGCCTGTAATTTTCATCGAGGGTATACCTCAACTATGAGAGACAAAATGGGGGAAACGTATTTTCCACCATGATTTGCAAATAAATTCTTTAAAAATCAGACAATGTGATTTTCTGGATTTTTTCCCCCATTTTGTCTCTCATAGTTGAGGTATACCTATGATGAAAATTACAGGCCTCTCTCATCTTTTTAAGTGGGAGAACTTGCACAATTGGTGGCTGACTAAATACTTTTTTGCTCCACTGTATGTCTGAATACAAAGGGTAAATCTATACATATTTAGTGCTTTTTAACTTGCTTTACTCATTGCAACTTCTCGTATTTTCCACCATGATTTGCAAATAAATTCTTTAAAAATCAGACAATGTGATTTTCTGGATTTTTTCCCCCATTTTGTCTCTCATAGTTGAGGTATACCTATGATGAAAATTACAGGCCTCTCTCATCTTTTTAAGTGGGAGAACTTGCACAATTGGTGGCTGACTAAATACTTTTTTGCTCCACTGTATGTCTGAATACAAAGGGTAAATCTATACATATTTAGTGCTTTTTAACTTGCTTTACTCATTGCAACTTCTCGTATTTTCCACCATGATTTGCAAATAAATTCTTTAAAAATCAGACAATGTGATTTTCTGGATTTTTTCCCCCATTTTGTCTCTCATAGTTGAGGTATACCTATGATGAAAATTACAGGCCTCTCTCATCTTTTTAAGTGGGAGAACTTGCACAATTGGTGGCTGACTAAATACTTTTTTGCTCCACTGTATGTCTGAATACAAAGGGTAAATCTATACATATTTAGTGCTTTTTAACTTGCTTTACTCATTGCAACTTCTCGTATTTTCCACCATGATTTGCAAATAAATTCTTTAAAAATCAGACAATGTGATTTTCTGGATTTTTTCCCCCATTTTGTCTCTCATAGTTGAGGTATACCTATGATGAAAATTACAGGCCTCTCTCATCTTTTTAAGTGGGAGAACTTGCACAATTGGTGGCTGACTAAATACTTTTTTGCTCCACTGTATGTCTGAATACAAAGGGTAAATCTATACATATTTAGTGCTTTTTAACTTGCTTTACTCATTGCAACTTCTAGCCTGCTTTCTTGGTGAAAATACTTGTGAATTTGCCTTTAGGTTACAGGCCTCTCTCATCTTTTTAAGTGGGAGAACTTGCACAATTGGTGGCTGACTAAATACTTTTTTGCTCCACTGTATGTCTGAATACAAAGGGTAAATCTATACATATTTAGTGCTTTTTAACTTGCTTTACTCATTGCAACTTCTATCAGATCAACTTGAAATTTGATAGTTGTAGACTACAAATGCACTCCAACTCATTGTGAATACTAGATGATTAGAGGTGAGAGCCAGTTTGGTGTAGTGGTTCAAGCACTGAACTAGAAACCAGGAGACCGTGACTTCTAGTTCCGTCTTAGGTACAAAGCCAGCTGGGTAACCTTGGGTGAGTCATGCCCTCTCAGCCCTAGGAAGCAGACCATGGCAAACCACTTCCAAAATCTTGCCAAGAAAACTGCAGGAACTTGTCCAGGCAGTCCACCAGGAATCAACAATGACTTGAAAGCACCAAAAAAAAAAAAAGATCAGCAGCAGCTTATGATTATGGGGGTGCTATTCCTAGTTGCTATCACTATAATTATTATTAGGTATATGCATAATCATTGCTTCATGTCTTATCTGTGTGATTACATGCCTCTCAAAAGATGAGCCTGCTTTCTTGGTGAAAATACTTGTGAATTTGCCTTTAGGAATATATATTTAGCACAATTTCTGGTTGGAGTAACACAATCTCTATTTAAAGTCAGTCCATTTGTATCCTCTCCCAAAGCACAATTTATGTATCTTTTTCCCAGCAGACCTCCAAAGTTCTCTCATGACATTTGAACAGTATTTTAAAAATAGTTTAAAAATATGCCTTCAGTGGGATTTTATCTGCAGGACTCTGCTGAATTTATTTCAGTCCGAAGTGCAAAACTGAGAGCTGAATATATGATATCTGCAATATTCATATTCATATCAACATTTATTCATGTTTGAGGCTTAGATATGAAAAAGAGACATCTGCATTTTTACATATTTATTGTATATGGTGAGAGTAGCATCTTCATTCCAATTAAGATTTTCTAATACCACTCATCTGTACCAAATGCACATGTACTGAGAGACTCAACATTGGCTTTTTGAGTCCCAAGATTACATGTCAAAGCCAAGCTTTCTTACATGTTAGAATAAAAAAAAAAAATGAAGTACTATAGCAATATTTGGCAAGTGTGGACAATTCTTTAGAAGTAGCTAAGGTCTACATCAATTAACTTTTTCCTGAAAAATAACATTAGTCAATGGAAGTAATTCACAGCAGTTTTAAAAAACCAACCAAAACTGTATCTGGATTATGGACACAGTAAGCTGATTTTACTAACATCAAGTGCTATAATGGTACTTCTATCTTTACTGAATACAATGTTCATTAAAATCTGTTATGATCCAGAATGTGCCCTTACTGAGCAAAGCAGAAAGAGATCAGCCAACCTCTGCATTTACTTACAAATATATTGCAGAAAAACCAGAGTCTGTCCTTTGTACACATATGTATCTGTCATTCACTAGAACCTAGTCTGCTATTGACCACTTTACACACACACACACTAAAACTGGAACAGAAAATGAACAAAAGATTACACTAATAATGCTTTAGTTACTTTGCCAATATACAATTGTTAATAGAAAAGGGAAAAGGAATGTAACAGAACAGGTATGAAGGAAGGTTTCGCAGACTTTTATTTGTGCATGTTTGTCAGGTGAAAAAGGTAAATGTCTACAGCTTCTTTGGTGCCCAACAGTCAGCATACAAAAATGTAAAAGACTATTAACAAATAAAAACACAAGCTCAACCTAAAGAAGTATTTCCAAGGTTAGTGCATATCATGACAATTCTGCTTATGAACACAGAAATCACTGCAGAAATAAATAGAATGTCTTGTAAAAAGCAGCAATTTCATTTTTTTCTTTTTTTGTAAACTTTTGTTTTTACAATACACACTGTTCAAAATAAAATCCAAAAGGGACTGGAGTTTATCACTGTGGCCAAGAGTTTGTACCTCCTCAGCTGTCTTGGTCCAGTTATCCTTTTTTCCTTACCCCCTTTTTTTTTTTTTTGCTTTAAGTCCAATGCAGCAGTCTTATAAAAGGTGCTTGGTTAGTCCACCTAACCATGAAGTGGCAAATTATAAAATTTCTTTCCTGCTCTCAAACACAAATGGATAGATCTGTTCCACTGCAGTGGCAACAGCCTTTACATTTGGCCCTAAGAATAAACAGAAAAAAAAAGACTCAGAACAGATATAAACAAACCTCTGAAGCCCTTAAACTTTGTTAGTGGAACTTAATACTTACAACAATTTTTTCCCCAATATTCTAAAAGTGAACAATTCCAAGTAATACTACTGAAGCAGAAAGTCCCTTCAAAACTAGTCTAAAAACATTAATTAAATTACACATCACACACATCCATATACATCCTAGACTGATCTCTGTTCTTCTCACATAGCTATATCATAAACCCAAAACAGTAGGAAAAAGTGCAAATTCAGCAATTGATTTCTTTTCTCAAAATTTGCTTCTTGCACTTTATATTGTTAAATTACCTGATATCATCAATGGCCACCCAACACTCCAACTCAAATTAGACCTTAATATAACTATTTATCTTATTTTTCTTCAATTATAAGTCCAGAAAATCTTCACTGGGATCACAACATGTAAGAATGGAAGTCTTATTTCTTCTCTCCTCAGCAAGACAGAACAAAATTGTTACTTCCCCAGAGTGGCTAAAATATAAAAAGGAGAATGTTCCCATTGGTACAATGGGATAGTTACCCTTAAAGTGTTTTAAGTCACAAACAGAACGAAAGGAAGATATAAGCCTTCCTCCATCATGTGTTACATTCCTGATAAAAAAATCACTCCCTGTGTGCTTGTAATTAAATTGGAGGCCTAACTAAGCTATAGCCTAAGTACTAAGAATATAGTTTTTTTCTCAGTTAAAATAATTGATTTATGGATGGCTACTGAATTTAATACCTGAAATGCCTAATGGTGACAAATTAACTGATCTTACTCAATTATAATTCAGTTCCTGTTTTTATCTGTTAGATTTTTAATCTAATTTCAATCTATTTGACTTTCAATCTAACTGAATTTAATTTGACTGATTTCAGTCAAATGCCACTTGTCACACAGGAATGCTGATACCATTTTAATGGGGAAACACACAAGTGTGATGTGATCTCCTACAAAAACAATAATGTAGAATCTACACTTGGACATAAATTTTGTTTAAAAACAAAAATATGGCAGTTCATGTACTCTTTTCTAATATTTTGGTCAATTCTAAAATATTGCCTACTATGGGTTTTTATGTAGTCCTACAGACTAGAATTGCTACTTATGCATCTAATAATGCTATAAGAACTATAGGAGATGGAGTCTACTATCACAGTATGGTTATTTTGTACCACAAAAATAGCCACTCCACATTTTTATAGCTTCTTCTCTTAAGTAAGAGCATAATACTCAGATGTGAAACGCTTTTGTTTTTGCCAACCACACAATCTATAAAATCTGTAGTTTTGCTTGTATAAAGTCTACCTTGTTTCCCTTTATTCCTGTTCTCTACCTAGCCATAAGCTATGTTTTATTCAATGCAAGAGATCTGAAGTATAGTGAGACTTTATATTTTCAGAGAAGGGGGCAGAGAAGTCGTTAGGGATTAATTCAATCTACAAACTACCATCTTGGAATTAGATCTAGCACTCATAAACACATTTGACCAGTTTTTAGCTGTCCGCTCCCACCCGTCCACTGCAACACCAGTTACGTTTAATATCTTGCCTAGTGAAGAGTTCTACTGAACTCGGGTTTTTGCACTGTTTTGTAGCACATTGTTTGGTCTTAATAAAGGTAGCACCCACTAGGAGTATTGTTTCATGGTTATACAGCTATCTTTATTTTTAACTGGCTGAGGTCCCATCATTAAGGAAGTTATTTATTCACAAAAAGATGAGTACCTGTAACTGTGATACTTCCTGTTGAAAAAATCTGTAAAGTAGCTCTAAGTGATTTTATTCTGTAGCACACTGCAGGATGAAGCTCTGGTTCATAACTAGGAAATAAATAAGCAAAATGTATTTCAAAAATAAATCCTAAAATAAAAATATAAAATAATTTAATTTGTACTATTCAAATTAAAATAAATTTAATTTGTATAGTACAATAATACTTTTAAATTGGACTATACCTGGCATGGGGTCGGTTGTTTTTTGTAAATTCTGGCAATCTGACTTCAAACGGCATGTTGCATACTGCTAAAACATTGACAACTTTAAAATCTGTAAAAATCACCTTTTTGAAGGAAAAAGAACATGTGGAGATAGAATTATTAGAAAACTTTTAAATCTGAGAAAAAGGGCTTATATACATTTTTGTCTCATTTCTAAGAAGCTACCAGTTGTTTCCTGTAACTGTGGCTAGAATGTGCTTTTTAACATAAGACCTTTTTCAGAAAAGATGCTAATATATTTTAGTTGATAGAACATTATTTCAAGTAATCAGCTTTACATCATTTGATTAAGAATTACCAATGTTCCTAAAAATTGAGAAATATTCTAAAATTGTCCTTTTAATCATATTCCTGTTTCACAGAAAACAAACTTTATTAGAAAATATTGAACTTGTAGCTGCTATCTTTTAAAAGGAGTAATTCTATTCCCCCATTTTGCTCTTAGATGTATTTGATCTCCCTTGGCTAAAAAAAATAAGGAACCAAGCTCCCGCTTTTCAAAAGATAGCTGCATCACTTGAAAACAGTGTTAGGCAGGAACCATAATGGAGTGAAGTGGCATTAATCAAGTCCCTAAAATCCTCATGTTTCAGTTCTTCTAATTACTAGTACTGTAGAAGGGACCATTCCAGAATGCTATAAACACAAAATAGCACTTCTGCCCATTTATTCCTACATAAGATAATGACAATATATGAACCAGCACCAACCAATTATTGGGGGGGGGGATTGTCATAGTCTCTGTATGTCACATGTATGAGATACCGCACCTACAAAGAGCATCATTTAGATCAGTTTTTCTCAATCTCAGCAACTTTAAGATGTGTGGACTTCAAATCCCAGAATTCCCCCAGCCAGCATAGGAATTGAAGTCCACACATCTTAAAGTTGCTGAGATTGAGAAACACTGATTTAGATTATTTTTAAGATAAACTATATTGTCAGGACAGTGCCCCGCATCCTACTGTACTTTCTGGGAAAGAATGCATTTTGTTACTTAAAACACACAGACATCCCTGCATCCACACAGGACTATTTTAACTGATGTCTGAATCCTATGATTAAATTCTATTTACAAGCGAGGTTTTCACCCTTTTTGGAATTATATGATGTCAAATTGAACACATTGTTATTTTATTGCAAATAAATTATACATCCCCCTTTCAATTATTTATTTACACTTGGATTTATAATGAGCAAGATCAGTATTGGTAACTGACCAAACTTTTTATTATTGATGTATTAGCAAAGTAATAAAATACAAACCAGCAAAAACAAAATGCAGCATTCTTGAAAAAAATAATGTTAATTGATGGTAGTATTTTTATGATCCAATCATCTACTTCAGTCAGGTTACTTCTTGCAATCCTGAATCAACTGATATCAATTTCAAGTGTATGGGACAACATTTTCCCCGAAGTCTGATTTAATGAAGAACTGGGTACATCAACTCTTTGTGGTGCTGTATGAAAGCTAGCAAGCCAATATCTAAAATAGACACCAAACACTCCCTTCCCATGTTCTGTAGTAGAGAACATGGGGATGGGAGGAGACTTGCTCTCAACACTGGGTTTTTGCAGGAAATGCACATTGAGCCTTGGTGTTTCTTCAATTCTATTTGTATTCTGTTGCTTACAAAAGAAACTACTACTTTTCTTATAGAAAGGAGGCTGGGTATTTTTTGCAACTATTGAGCCAATGGGAGAGAAACTCTCCCTCTACAAAACAATTGATGAAATCAAAGGAAAACCCAATTGTAGATTCTGTAGAAAAAAGTTTGTATCTCCCTTTGCATGGAGATTTTTGCAAAAGGTAGAAGTAAAGACGAGAGCTTCTGCAGTGAGAGAATATAAAATCACAAAAGACACCCACAAAAGACAAAGGAAGTGCTTTCTGTTCTTTGGCCCCATTTTATTTTGTGGTATTTTGGCTGGAATGCACAGGCATTCATCAGAGAGGGAAAGGGCTGTTATCGCTGGTGAGCAGATTAATGAAACCTGCTCGGTGGTGAGCATAGCCAGCTGGCTTTCTAGAAACAGATCGAATGAGAAAGTCCCTGAATGAGGATAAGAACAGAGGTGTCACAGTTGACTAATAAATCAGAATATATTTATTTCAATAGAAAAATTACCTGAAAACCTAGTTTCTGAAGACTACGGGCTAATCGTCTGGCACCAAATTTTGCTTCTTCTTCACTGAAGTTGGGAACAAACAAACAACTAGTCAAGGGATTATGCAATTAAGGATAACTAATACATAAATGATTTCATCAAAAAGCAAGCAATAAAAATACAGATGAAGTATACCTTGTAGCTCCTGTGCAAATTACTTTCCCTGAGGACCAAATTGTTGCTGTAATCCTGGGTTTCCTAAGCTTCATTAATACTTTCTGAAATCAATCAGGAAAAAAATCAAATTGAAAAACCTAAAAACAGATCTACGTGCTATCATTTTAGAAAGATTCAACATTTAAGTTTTACTTCTGAGCTACTCTATTCTGGGGAAAAAACTACTCTAAAATGTTCCAGATTAGAGCATAGTGTTATTTTTATTTTTGTTTTTTAAACAATTAACTTCAATATAAGATTTTAGGCATTTATTTTACATTACAGCTGACAGAAGATGACTGCTGAAATCTAATACATCAAAAAGGTAATAGGCTGGGGAAGCCTGTGATAAACTGTTATCTTTATTTTCAACTTTTGGATAGGCAGTATGCAACTATACCACAAGAGAAACCTAGAAAAGTCTGAACCCCAACATAGCAACAAACTTATACCCCTTCTCAAAGTATTTTTAATCAAAATTGTTTCAGCTCTTGAATCTCCAATAATCCTTATTTTAAGCAACTGAGATAACATGTAGTGAAAACTGTTAATAATATAGTTCAAGCATGATGTTAGCTTTACTAACAAAACAACTTTTACTTGCAAACATGTTACCTCATTACTGGTTACTTGTGGACAGAATTCTAGTTATATAAGCAATCCATGTGAATAAAGTATTAGCCATATAGATAACCATCTAATCTTCATCAGCCCTGAATTTTTTTAAACTTACCAGAAGTAATTATATATCAGAAATTGAATTCTGCAGCCAATATAAACAAATCATAGTTAAAATCCTTGTTTTAGGTCTTTTCCCCTATGCTACCCCCTTTTAAAACAACAGTAAATAACACAATTCAGAAGTTAAAACACCTTTCATAATACTAAAATCAACATCTATTCCAACTAGAAGACCAGCTAGACTGTTTCAGGGTATAAATAAATGAAACTTTCAGATGTTCAGAAAGCTGGTAATGATGGTGCCTGATGTACCCCAGATAGCAAGATATTCCATGCATGTGGAACTACTGTAGAAAAATCTCCCTCTCTTATTTTAGCCACTCAATATCTCTCCAAGTATGGCAAGAGAGCCTTCATTCCTGGCCCTGAATTGCAGGAAGGTTGATGAAATGGAGACAGTCTTTCAAGCAATCTGGCCTAAACTACTGAAAGTTTTAAGGGTAAGAACCAGCATAGTGATTTTTTTTTTTTTTACTATACACACTAGAGGTGTGCAAAACATCTCAAATTTGAAATAGAATGCTCAAGTTTGAAATAACTGCTGTTTTGAATTCAAAACTACTGTTCCAGTCTTACCAGAAGTATTCCAATACTCTTCTGATTATGGCTTTTTCACCCTTGGAATAGTTCCAGAGTGGTCAGAACACTGTTGGAACACTTCTGGTAAGAGTGGATCTATTTCAAACACAAAACAATTTTGAGCTTGAAATGTTACATATTTAAACATTTTTGTATACTTGTATATACAATGCAACATTAACAATTAAAATCTGACAAACCATATGATCATTAACTACCTCAAACTAAAAAGGCCTGGCTGTAGAGGAAAAGTATTGTTTCTTTAGAAAGCCCTTTTCTGCTGAACATCATGTTTAGGCAAGTTCATATTGATAGGCAGCCTCTAAAATGATCAGGATCCAAGCCATTTTGGGTTTTAAAGTCAAAACCATAAATGTTTCCAGTAAAAAATTAGGTCTTTCAGCACTGGTGCAGTAGCTTCAAATACCGGGAACAGGTTAGCAGTTTAATTACTGCAATTTTGATTGAACTCGTAAACGTACTAGTAGAAAATACACCACAGACGTCATCTATTCCAACCACCCTCTGATATTTGAATGTCCATATTCTACAGAAGCTGTTTTGAACCATCTTCAAAAGTAACACTATACAAAGTTCAGTACATTCTAGATACATTAGCACTTCATGCTGCTTTCTCAAAGTTGCTGTATCAGTAATGGGATGTATGTCTTTACTATCGACACTTACTATCGATACACTGTAAAACATTTCTTTCATCCTTATTACAGGTAAAATATCTGAAATGTTTTGCTGTTTAGAGTTTCCAACAAAATGTGAGAGAACTCCAAAATTAAAGTGTTAAGTTACTTACCCCAACGTCACGCTTGTATATTACATTTGCTCCCTCCAATGCAATCTTTCGCAAATTTAAATGACATCTTGTTCGGAAGACACAGACCACATTTGTGATTAGAATATCCAATGCAACATCACTCTCTGCATCCATTGGGGTGATTTAAAACAGAGATTCCCACCACCATACCATGAAAGGTCACATCCTGAGGGTAAGATATATTAATTAAACAGTTATCTATCAAAACGTATATCAGTATGTTTTAATTCCCAAAATGAAGACCTAATTTTGAAAACAGTATCTTCCTGATAGACACATTATATATATATATATATATATATATATATATATATATACACACACACACA